AGTGCCTGGGTGCAGGAGCCCTGAATGGCTCAGTAGGCCACAGGCCTGTCTAGGTCTTGTGCTCCAAGTGCTCCACCATCTTGCCTCTAGGAATCGTCTGGCTGGACTCTGCTGGAAGACACACAGAACAGGGGCTTCAAAGTTCAGGAGGCTGTCCTAGGGATTTCTTTGTTGCCCACAGCAGGGGTTGGGGGATAGGAGGGATCAGATTGTCTGGCTCCTACTGTAGAGGGTCCCAGATCTGGGGCTCTGTAAGCACTCTGTGGCAGAAGCACTCACTCACAGGCCTGTGGAAAGCTCAGAGGGCCTGTAAACTCACTTGCAGGTGTGTGGATAACACAGAGTGCCCCCAGTTTTCTATTCTCAGATTTGGGTCCCCTATGTGGCCTTCAGAGTAAGGAGTCCCCATACCTGGCATTATGCAGCCACTGGAAAGCTGCTGGAACAAGGGAAGCTGTAGCCAAAAGTGCAGGGGTGGATAGTACACCACTCTCAGACCCAGAGAAATCCATGGGGCCTGGATCCAATATGTCCTAGCTTATGGGTTGTCCTTTCTAACCCAGGAAGCCTCAAAGCCCATGCTCTGGCTTTGCCTGCCCATCCACTCAACAGTTTCACAGTTTAGGATCCTTTGCCCTTCAGATATGGTGCACACTGGTCGCCGCCATCTTGGAGTCCCCAAATTTTTTTCTTAATAGCATTATTTAATGTTTCATGTTAATTAAAACTTTGCAAAATATTGTATTTTACCACAATGTTTTGTTATGTTTTGATCTGCAAGCTGCAGAGGGTACTCAATGGTAGTGTATTTCCCTAGCATGTATGAGTCCTCAAAACCATAAAAAAACAAAAATCTCAATTTATAAACCAAAGCCTAGTATTAAAAATTAACAAAATAAAATAAATAAAATACATAAAATAAACAAAATATGATAAGATAGGAGTGAATTTGCTCCATTATATAATTTTTATTGAATTATTCACCTCCTAAAAGAAATAATATTGCCAACATACTTTTTAAAAGCAAGGTTCTGTTAGGTTTCAGGTTTCCTTTAATGCTAGTTTTTTTTTGTATATATCTTGCCACAAATTTACTGAAGTAAATAATTTGTGTGCTATTAAAGCAAATTACCTACAGATAAATGTATTTTAGATCTTACTGCCTCATTGTTTATTAAATTCTGAAACTATAACCATTTTCCATTGTGAAAGCCCTGGCTGGCTTCTTTATACATATAGTTATTTAGAAATTTAAGCAACCTAGAATAGCCAATACAATCTTGAAAAAGACCAGAATTGGAAGACTTGCATGTCCTAATTTCGCAATTCCCTACAGTGCTACAGTAATAAAGACTATGAGGTAATAGAATTATGAAGCCTGAATTTAAATCCTCATATTCTGGGCTAGGTGGTTTTGCCAAGAGTACAAAGACCATTCAATATGGAGAAGAATTTCAACAGAAGGTACCAAGAGAGCTGCATATTGAAATGCAAAGAATGTAATTAGACTTTTGCTTTATAACCATTCACGAAATAAGAGGTAAAACTTTAAAACTTTTTTAAAATGCATTTCAAAATGTTGAGAAGAAAACACAACAGTAAATCTTCTTGACCTTGGATTTAACAGCAGTTTCTCAGATACTACACCAAAAGAAGAAACAGGAAATTTGGACTTGATTAAAATTTGGAATTTGTTGTGCTTCAAAGGACTTCACCAAGAGATTTAAAAAAAAAATGAATGAAAGCTGAGTGTGGTGACACATACCTATAGTCCCAGAACTTGAGGCAGAACGATCTCTGCAAGTTCCAGGCCAACCTGAGCTCCATAGTGAGTTTCAAGCCAGCCAGGGCTATACAGTGAGTTCATGTCTCAAAACTGGACCAAGACAACAACAACAAAGCATGATGGGAGAAATGTTTGCATAAGAGAATTGTAGGTAGAATATATGAAGAACTCTAATGAATCAGTGACTTGAAACTTTGAAATGGGCAAAGGGTTTGAGTAATGCTTCTCCAAAACTATGTAAATGGTCGCTTGAAAAGATGTTCCACAGCATTGGTTGTCAGGGGGATGCAAATTAAAATCATCATAGAATGTTACTTCACTCATACCAAGAAGGATCGAATTAAAGACAAGAAGCATCACTGAAGATGTGGAGGGATTGGAACCTTCATACCTGGCTTGGTGGGAACAGAAAATGATATAGCCACCTGGGAAAGTAGTTCTTCAGAAGGATAAACCAAGTGATCAAACAATTCTAGGTGTGGATGTGCTCAAGATAAAACATGCCCGTGCAAAAACTTAACACTTATCTGTTCATGTAAGCGGCATTCTTCATAATAGCTCTAAAGTGGAAACCACCCAAATGGATGGATAAATAATAAGAAAATACCTTGTACAGAATGATAATAACCAGAAAAGGAAGAAGTACTTCTCCAAAACATGGACTTCAAAAACAGGGTGATAAGTACAAGAAACCAGTCACAAACTATATATCATAGGATTACATTTATGTGGGAAAATGCCCAGGACAGGAAAAATATCTGCCTACAAATAGCAAATGGATTTCAAGTAACCTAGGGCTGGGGTGGATAATAGCTGATGGGTAGAGGATTCTCTTTGGGATGATAACAGTCCAAAGTTACTTGTAATAATTGCATAACTCTGAATATCCTGTCATTGAATTATACACCTCAAATGAATAATGACTTTTATGTGAAGTTAATAAAACTATTATAAAAACAAACGTATGATAGGAACTGTTCTGTTATTTTACTTGTTTTGTTTTGTTTTTTTCCCTGATCAATACTCTTTAAGTTCTCTTATAATTACTCTGTGTGGTGAGAAAAGTTAACTCAGTTTTCCAAATATGGGTCTGCTTTCAGTAAATTTCTCCAGTGGATTTGTAGATATATTGTAATACCAGGAATATTGTTATGCAATCACTCACGTAAACACACATATACATACCTGGGGAACTCTAGAACACTAGGTAAGAAGTTTGAAGCTTTTGAAAAGTTGTTCTGTTCATTGAGAAGAATGTGACATCCAAGGTCATTTTGATTTTTTGATTGATTGATTGTTTTCTGGCCAGTCTCCCTATGTTGTAGCCTTGGCTGGCCTGGAGCTTGTTCTGCATGCCTGGCCTTGAACTAACAGAGATCCACCTGTCTGTGCCTCCCAAGTGCTAGGATTAAAGACGTAAGGTACCAAGTCCAGCCATCCAATGTCCATTTAGTGTGAGTCCATATAATCCTCCTTAATATCTGAAAATGGAAAGTATCTCAGAGAAAAGAACTTCTAGCCAAGGATACACCATATGTGTAAGGCCAGGAAATCATCTTTAGAGGGTCCTCATTCTCTGGCTTCTCAGTTTCTCCCCATATGCCTCTTGTAACTTCACCCCAGTTAACAGCCTCTCCCAGAGAAGGGCCTCAAACCCAGCCTGAGCTACAGATGGCAAATGAGACAAAGACCAATATAGTCATGCTCTTGGGCTCCAAAGCTCCGTCTTGAATGAGCGACTCCAGCCAGGTAATGATGAGCCAAGCCCATTCCTACCCCCAAAGAGGTTTCAGATGTCGTGTCTGAGCAAGCATGTTTGGGTGGGCAAGGCAGAGGTTGGCGGTGAGACGCCTCTCAAAAAGAAGGTAGAGGTTCTTTTGTTCCTGCTCATATCTTTGACTTTTTCTTAGAAAAGAAAATAGGAAAGATGACTGCTCCCTAGGTATGGTGGAGGAGAACATTTATTATAGACATGAGAGCATAGTCAGAGGCAGAGACATCTGGGAGAGTTCAGAGGGAACATGACCAGACTGAACTGAGCTATGTGAGGAGAAGAGGGAGGGAAAGGGAGAGAGGAGATACAGCAGCCAAAAGTACAAAGAGAGCAGGTAACCAAAATGGTTGGATTATATAGAGAAGAGCATCCCAGCACCCCCTCCCCCCCCCCGGGCTGGAGTGTTGAGAGTTCAAGGTAGGGGTCAGGGCATGTTAACCAGGAGGGGCAGGTAGGGGTTGAGACAGCCTTAGCTGGCTTAGAACTGCTACATAGACCAGGCTGGCCTTGAACTCAAGAGATCTGCGTCCTCTGACTTCCGAATACTGAGATTGAAGGTGTGCTCCACTATACCTGTCCATGTCTAGCTTTTAACATGGGTTCTAGAAATATAAACTCAAGTCCTTTTACTTGGGCTGCACTTTACTGACTGAGCCGTTCCCCTCATAGTCCTCTATGACAGGAGCCCTGACCCCTTTCCCCGCACAAACCATGCTTTCCTCCCAGTAGCCCAAGCTATGTCTTGTCTCAGCTGTTTTCAAAGTGTGTTCAATTTCTGGAAAAGTGTAACCGTAGATAAAGAAGGTGTGACCCATTCTAGTTATCTGGGCTTCCTTTATGAAGGGAAACCTTACCACAGGCATGTGCAGCCTGCCCTTGCACTCATCTGGGAACCACAGATGCACAGCCAGTATGCTGAATGGACTGTAGGATGGAGTTTCTGCAGGAGTTCCAGCGGACACTAAATCCCTCAATCCTATAGCTAAATGTCCAGACCCCTTCAGGGCAAAACCACTTCCTGGAGGGGAAAGCTTTGACTAGTTGGCTAGTTGATTGGTTGCTGTTTACAGCCAGGCTGCAGACTCCCCTCCGTTTGATTCCCATTCCGCATCTTTGCCTCCAGTCCTCTCTAGGCAGGTTTTCATGAAAGCTGTCAGGGCAAACTTTCAGCGTTTGTGTGAGGCTTCACAAAATAGTATGCTGCTCTTCTGAATGTGGTGAGAGCCAAAAGAAAAAAAAATCAAATTATCGTAGCTGCTTTGTGTTCACCTGGGTCTGCACCTTTGACAGTGTCACTGAGACAAAAAAAAAAAGAGAGGGAGCGAGAGCAACCAATTACCCCTGCTATTTAGGTTTATGTAAGAAAATTGGTTCGAAGGATATTTTCTTTGTTCTCATTTTTCTTTGGCCTTGAGTTGAGGGAAAGCTCTTTTTTTTTTTCTTTTTTTTTCTTTTTCTCTCACTGAAATGGGAAACTTTTTTTAAGGAAGTATTCTCTATCCAGATTTAAAGTGCTCATCCGAAACAGCCCTGTTCATCACAGTGGTATGTCGGGATGCCCCCTCCCCCAAGCTCTCCCTGAAGTGACAGGGCTGAGCTGAAATAGGCATCAGACACACTTGCTGGCACACTCAAGCAGTTCCATCCGGATGGCAATTCGTACATGCCAGCCCAGAGGAATCAGCCGGATGAAGCGGGAAATGATGGGGGGCCGCAGTAAGTTCTGGACTGTAGAACTCCGGTCTGAGTTTCCGTAGAAGACCTAAACAGGGGGAAGAAAGTCTGGTCATTATCACAACAAAGGAAGGAAAAGGAACAATGGCTCCTCCTTAGAGCTAACTTCAGTATATATATGTATGTATATATGTATATATACATATATATGTGTTTGTGCGCGCATGCATGTATGTGTGGAGGTCAGAGAACAACTTTCAGGAAACACATCAGTCTCTCCTACCATGTGGGTTCTGGGCCATGAACTCGGGCTTTCCATGCTTGGTGGCAAGTACCTTTACCTGCTCAGTTATCTTACTGGCCCTAGGGTCAGTTTTGAACAATGGAGAATCTTAGACAGTCGGTTAACTACAGAAAGCATACAGTACCCTCATAAAATCTGACTGGATTATTGCAAACAGCCACATCATCTGGCGATGTCTGAGTATACATGGGGACATTGCACCATTCAGAATGGCAGCCATTAGCCATGTGTACACAGTTAAATTTATATTAAGTGAAAGTAGATGGAAATTTAGTTTCTCATCTCTGTCTCTGTCTCTCTCTCTCTCTCTCTCTCTCTCTCTGTGTGTGTGTGTGTGTGTGTGTGTGTGTGTGTGTGTGTGTGTGTGTGGTGCCATTTTATCCTTTGTGCTTTGACAAAAAGTTTTGAGAGGGTCCATGCCACACAAGTGATATCTAAGGTCCACTCAAGTCAAACCTTATACCTGGCTCTGAAGTTGGAAACCAAAGCTTAAATGTGTGTTTCTACTTTGATACAAGTGGCAAGTGCCTTTTAGGCTTGGAAAAAAAAAAATAGTTTTTACAAACAGACAAAAATTAGAAGGAAAATTCTGGAAAGGAGAAGGTGGTGTTGACATAAAGAGATAAAAGGCAAGTTTAATGTTTTTCAAGAAGCAGCATAAGATGTTGCAAAACTGTGACAGTGTTTCTGAATAAATCATTCTTCGCACTCTTTCCAGGGTCACGGTGTTCTGCTCCATGACATAAGAGTGTTTCATTTCCTCCTGTAACTTTCTCCTAAAAATATTTAACAGCTGCACTTAGCTTTATCTATCCGAAATACCAGCAGTCCTTGTTTACAGTGATCTTGCCTTTCTTCCTAGCAACAAAGTCTGAGCTGCCCTCTCTTTAAGCATTCCCTTGAAGGCATTCAAGTCAGAAGGAGGTGAAGAGGAGGTTGATGGAATCTGACCTGAGACCTGATGAATGGAGTGAAGTGCCTCCTTCAGAGCTCCATCAAGTCCTTCACACAAGCGCAAGGCTTAAAAAGGAATTCTAATGTCTTTTGGAGACTACAACTAGTAAGTGCAGAAAATGAAATTAGAAGATGTCAGAGAAGTGGCCCAACTGGTAGTGTGTGTGACTAACAAGCAGAAAATCCTGGGTTCTGATTCCCAGCACCACATAAACTGATGATAGCACACACCTACAGTCCTAGCACTCAGGAGATGGATAGAGGCAGGAGAATCAGAAGTTCAAGGTTATCTTCAGCCACATAGCAAATTGGAGACCAGCCTGGGATATATGAAACCCTGTCTCAAAAAAAAAAAAAAAAAAAAAAAAAAGAAAGAAAGAAAGAAAGAAAAGAAAAAAGCATCAAGATGTTTTCTCCCATTGTGTCAAACTCCTCATAGTGTCAACCCGTGAACGTCATACTGTGCAAATTGTTACCACTTTGATTATTTAGCCACGCATGTCTCCTCAACCTGATTAAATGTCAAAAACAGGCTGAGGAGGACTGGAAGTGGTGGCGTGTGCCTGTAACCCCAGCATTCAGAACAGTGAGGCAAAGGATGAGGACCAGCCTGTGCTCCACACTGAGGGGAAGGAGAGAGATAGGAAATGGCCTGAAGAATTCCTTGCTATTGGGGGGAATTGGGCTGGCATTTTCAAACAGCCACTGAGTTTTCAATTCATTTTTTTATTAATTGCAAAGAAATCCAGGAACTTAATGTGTTAGTTCACAGTGAAGAACTAGAAGTCCATTCTCAAGGATTAATAGATTAAGTGTGTCTGGATTGGTACCATCTCTTAAATAGCCATTTGGGCTGCTAATATTAGTTTATCTTACTATTACAGATTACTAACATTTTCAAATTTGTTTTTAGTAATTTTTTTTGTTATCATTTGTGTCTGTATGTGGTTATATGCACGGGCATGCAGAAGTCCTTGGAAGCCAGAAGCATGTGATCCCCTGGAACTCGGGTTATAAAATGTTATGACCTGGGTGCTGGGAACTGAACTCTGTTTCTCTCCAAGAGCAGTATGCATTCTTAACCACTGAGCCATTTCTCTAGCCTCCAAGTGGCTCACTTGTGGGGCTTCCAAAAGGTTTGCAGCTGTCACTCTCAGTCACTAGTAAGAAGAGACCATAACTATACAAATGGGTGAAACAGGCCCCACAGTAAATGACTCAGTAAGTTTGGAACGGTCAACATTACCAGGATAGTGTTCGCAAGAGACTATATGCTGATACTGACAACTAGGAAAATGCCTCTTTTTTTTTTTTTTTTTTTTAACACAAAAGCGCAGCATTCATTTCCAAGCTGCCAGTCTCCCCAGGCTCCGTCTGGGAAAGAGACCAGATCAGACAGTGGAAAAGGAACACAGAGGACCCAACATGTCCAGGGGGCCGTGCCCCGACAAAGACCTAGACAGCAAGAGCACCGGGGTGGGAGGGAGAGCACGTCTCAGGAGGTGTGAGCTGAAGATGAATGACTTGGACTGAGCCCTACTTACCCGATTGTTCCCGGTCTGATCCTTATAGTAAATCCAGTTCAGGTGCTCATCGGTCCGATACTGCACGCTGTACTTGGTCATCCACTCATCTATGTCACAGCGGCCTTGGGTGAGGATCCCCGAAATCACCTTGATCTCCTTCAAATCGATCTGCAGCCACTGGCTGCTGTCCTGATACTTAGAAAGCCAAGCGCACCTGCCAGGAACACAGCAAATTACCAGTAACCAACCTCTCTAAAGTTCTGCAAAAAGCCAACAGGTACTGAGTTTTGAGGAGACTAGCGCCAAGAGGTATCCTCCCAGTGCTGGGCCTTCAGACATAGCCCAATTCTCAGGTCTTTTCCTTAGGAAGACTTTCTGGCATGTTAAACCGATGAGGTCTTTTTTTTTCCTTCCCCATCTCTCCAACCATGTTCATCCCCTGAGCTAAGTAACCAGGTGTGCAAGGGATGGGCTTCCAGTCCCTCTCCCCCTCTTCACTATGTGCCCCCGACACTGCCAAGGAACTCGCCCAGCCTGCCACTGTTGTGCTTGCAGACCTTGGCACAACAAGGCACTCAGTCCAAGTTTGTTGAAGAAGTGCTTTCTGTGCCATCCGTTTATGAGGCAGACCTAATTTTTCAAAGCACATCTTAAGAAAAATGAGAATGAACGACTCCTCCTTGGGCTGCCTGCCCTACTTACCCGAAGCCTTGACTGTTGAGCCGGGCCTTGTTTGCTGTCCAGGAGGAATACCAACCCACATACTGCTCCGGGTTGGAGCAAGTGATCTGATCTGGCGTGACCTCCCCTGACTCGAAACCCAGGGGCTTGTGATATGGGCATTCTGAGAAGGAAAAACAGCACACACTCAAACACCCAGACCTCTAGCCAGAGTGATGGCATATATATTCTGTGAAGTCCCAGCAACTCTGGGCTGCCCTGAGAATGGATTGAGATAGCCCAAAATTCAAAGAAAAAAATGAACTCTAATCCCAGAACTCCAACAGGAAATGGCTGAAAGAACAAAGCAGAAGCATTGGCACTTTGCAGGTGGAGGACATTTCATTTCTCGGCATTGTGCCGGTTACAGAGAGTTAAGTGTTCACACGGGATGAAGGTGAACTGAAGTAAAGGGATTGCCATAGACATTCATGAAAGACTCAACATTCATGAAAGCAGGGTGGGGTCGGGGAGCCGGTTCTACAGCAACCTCATTGAGGGGGGGAGGGCAGTAAGAAATGCATCACCTCCCTCCTCAATTTAGAGACCTAAATGCCAAGAGAACCGCAGTGAAAGAGCATATTGAAATGCCAGGCGTCCGGCTTTAGTTCTCTCATTATCACAGGTTGAACTGTGCTGCCAAAGAACATTAGGGTCTCTAATTGTTCTTGAGCAGCAGATGATGCCAATTATAGGAAGAAAACAACGGCGAGCAGAAAAAAAAAAGGCAATTATGTATTGAGACTGACTTCTTACTTGAAAATTGTCATTTTCTCACTGAAGAAAAATAAAGGATGACTGAATAGGGACAGCCCAAGTGAGCCTTACAGGCTAGTTACCTGCTGCTTCCTTCCCTTCGTAACTAAGCCCTCACACAAAACCAGCATTGGGTGACCCTGCCAATGGACAACCTGGCATTCTCCTTTTTGTTTTGAGAAAGAAAAAAAGTTCATGAAGGCAGCAATATTACTTGTTTAAAACACACACACACATTTTAAAATCATTTCCAGAGTTTCTCAAAATTAGGAGTGACTACAGGACGTAATTTCTGACCCAGAAGGTCTAAGAGGAGGGTCTGTCAGGTTCTCTTTTTTTTTTTTTTTTTTTTTGTCCCTTCTTTGTTCCTGTTGCCTGGACAGAAGGAAGTCATGATAGCTGGTGCACCTGTAGGTCACTAGCACTATGGGGGACCTGCAGGATACCTAGCCCTGCTACCTTTAGGTAACTCTCTAACCCTAGTCCTTGTACTGTACGCCAGTGCAAGGTAATCCAATAAGCCACTCTCTTATCTGAATCCTAACCCAGTTCGTAACTGAAATTCTATTAAAAAAAGATAATAATTCACCTCTTTTCCTATTTGAGAATGATAAATTCCAAATAAGGCAAATGAAATCATGTTATCTTTGTGTAAATCTGAATTCAAGCAAAAGAGCTGTTTGTTGTGGCATCATTAGCTGCACCTGTAACTAACAGGAAATGTTTGAGTGTTCCCTGAGGATGAGGTTCCCAAATTCAGTAAAACAGGCTGAGGCTGTTGAACAGTATATTTTCATAGCATGCACAAGATTCCATCTTCAACACACACACACACACACCACCTTCAGAAATGGCTCTGCCCTGCCCTGAGGTGCCATAGACAAGATAGCCGCAGCCTTCAGGCTATGATGGCTCAGCTTCCTTTCTACCTCTATCTGCATTTCAGTGTGGCCAGGGTTGAGAGGACAGCATTGTGGTTTATCAAGTACTCAAGGCCTTGGAGTCCATTAAAATCATTCCCATTTTCAGGAGAGTAGCAGTGCTTTTATGAGCCACTCAATCACACCTGGTGTGGCTGAATCATTAGGGGAGCTTATTAAGAACGCCGTGTCTAGGATTCCACTCCCGGAGTGAAGTATTTTTAACAAGCATATTTTCAAAGTGCACTTTAAAAGCTTTCGCCTGCCAGGGAAGACATTTTGTGGGCTAGTAAATTGAGAGATGCAAACACCCAGCCCCCAACTCCCCTCCAGCCTGCAAGATAGGGTCAAGCTACCAGAAAGAGGGATAAGATCTCCACAACAGGAAACAAGCTTTTAATGGGCCTTCCTTTGTCACTTAACCTGTTTGGTTTGGGCTTGGGAGACAAGATATTATGTAGCCCAAGCTGGCTTCAAACTACAAACACTTGCTATGTAGTTAAGCCTAGACTTCATCTTCCTGCCCTCATTCCCCACATTCTGAGATTACAGGTGCACACCCAGTGCCCTAGCTGGCCCAGGTTCTTTCATCTAGAAGGTTTTTTCCTTTGTTTACCATGAAGGCAAATGTGCCAAGCACTTTACCAAATGAGTTACGTTTCCAGCCTTATTCTGTCAAATCCTAAATGGGTATCTCTAAGTCCATTCCACTTTGAACATCTAACTACCAAATTCCTTTGCTTTTTCACCCTTTTTCTTCAGGGCTGTGGGCTATAGGGAGGAGGCAGAAAAGAAGGAAAATCTTGTTGCCATCTTCTAGTTACCGCTTGTGGCAATCTGCTTTTTCCATTTCACTTTCCTTGACGTTCTTGCTTTGCTTCCCACATCTCCCATGTGACATCTAGGAGTAGGCTAGAGACCTCCAGTGGCTAGGGGTAGGCTGGAGACTCGGGAAGACATGTCCAGCAGGTGAAGAGAGTAGAGTTCACTTGTGATCCAAGGACATGTTTTGGAGGCCTAGGGCTATAGCTCAGTTGATAGAGGGCTTACCTAGTCCTGGGTTCCATCCTCAGAACCTGGACATGGTTGTACACACCTGTATGGAAGTGAGAAGCAGGAGGACAGAGCCGTTCAGAGACATCCTTGGCTACATAGCTACTTGAAGGCCAGCCTGGAATACCTGAGACCCTGTCTCAGAAAGGAAAAAAGAAAAAGAAAAAGGAAGGAAGGAAGGAAGGAAGGAAGGAGGGAGGGAGGGAGGGAGGGAGGGAGGGAGGAAGGAAGGAAGGAAGGAAGGAAGGAAGGAAGGAAGGAAGGAAAGGAAAAGAAAGGAAGAAACTATAAAGACATATTTGTCCAGGCTGCTCTCACTTTTCACAGCAAATAAGTAGGCTTCACCTTACCTGTGGGATCCTAAGCCCAGCTCCTACTGTCCAAGACTTGTCTTGCTACCTCCTGAATAATGCCACCTGGAACCTTGGTGCCCTTTATAAATCCAACATGGCTCTGCATCCTCCTCCCTCCTGTCTAGTGCTCTGGGTTTCAGGCCTTGACAACTTCAGGTCACAAAATAAAGACTCCAGACCAGGAGAGCTTCGTCTGATCTGCACCATCTAGGCACCCAGGGAGCTTCAGGCATACCGGTACTCTGACACATTCCCAGAGATTCTCTGCTGAGACTGGACTGGAGTAGGGCCCAGTGCCACAGATGATTATAATGAGCACTTAAGAATAAAGAGGTCATTATGGAGATAACCTAGAACCCCTGCACAGATGTAGCCCATGGCAGTTCAGTATCCAAGTGGGTTCCCTAGTAATGGGGAACAGGGACTGTCTCTGACATGAACTGATTGGCCTGCTCTTTGATCACCTCCCCCTGAGGGGGGAGCAGCATTACCAGGCCACAGAGGAAGACAATGCAGCCACTCCTGATGAGACCTCATACACTAGGATCAGAGGGAAGGGGAGGAGGATCTCCCCTATCAATGGACTCTGGGAGGGACATAGGATGAAAAGAGGGAGGGAGGGTAGGATTGGGAGGGGGCTACAGCTGGGATACAAAGTGAATAAATTAAAAAAAGAAAAAATAAAGAGGCCTTCCCAGGGGCTGGAGAGATGGCTCAATGGTTAAGAGCACTGACTGCTCTTCCAGGGGACCCAGGTTTGGATCTCAACACCCACATGGCAGATCATAACTGTCTGTAACTCCAGTTCCAGGGATCTGACACCCTGACATAGATACACATGCAAGCAAATACCAATGCACATAAAACAAAGTAAATTCATTAAGTAAAGAGGTCTGCCCAGTGCCAGCAAACTTATTTCTTAACGCCCTCTGATTCTGTTTTCTCTCCTGTGAATGGGCATCCTAGTCATATTGCCATAAGACATTTGCAAAAAGACAAAGTGAAATCCTGTTTAGCAGTTATGGACTTTGAAGTATATAGTGCCTAGCTAATACTAGTTGATTGTTTCTTGGCTTTGCATGGCTTTTCTTTGGACTTACCATAGGAGGAATCCAGCACCGCCTGTGCTTGTCTGTTGTCCCCTCCACCTACTCTCCTGGCAGCATCTGCCACGGTCAGGAAGTTGAATGATCTTGGGTCTATACAATACCAGAGGACTAAGTGATGGCCACAGCTAATGCAGAAGGGACCTGGTGGAGGCCTGAGCTCAACTGAGACATGATTCCACTGAGGAATAGGACCAAGGAGGAGTTAGCCCTCTGGCATGCTCAGGAAACCATGTGGGGATTCTAAGGAAGTATAGCCTAGGAAGGGCTTCCACCATAAGCAGCTGTCAACCTTCGGTGGGGCCCAGACCTCAACCCCTGGCAGTTATTGCATGCTTCAGAGGGCAGATCCTGGTCACCCCACAAAGAACATTACCCTCCCAAGTCTCTGCCCAGTGATTTCATTATAAACAGTTGCTACACTGGTATGTGTGTTTGACTGTGTGTCAAACAGTCTGTGTGAACGCATGTGTGTCGGATGCACATGCGCCGCAAGTACATGAATGTGCATATGCCCATGTGGGAGGCCCGGGAAGAGGACGTTAGGTGAATTCCCCTATCACTCTCTGCCCTATTCCTTTAAGACAGGATCTCTTACTGAGCTGAAGTGCAGTGTTTTGGCTAGGGTGACTAGCCGAAAATATGACTGCCTCCATTCACCAGTGCTGAGGTTACAGATACAGTAATGCCTAGTTTTTGTTTTGTAGTTTGGGGGTTGTGTTGTGTTTTGTTTTGATCAGGTTTCGTTCTGTAGTGCTGGCTAGCCTGGAACTTGCTATATATACACCAGGCTGGCCTCAAGCTCATAAACCTGCCTGCTTTTACCTCACGAGTGCTTGTATTAAAAAAGTATGCCTCCACACCTTGTGAAGCCTAGTGTTTAATGTGGATGCTGGGAATCGAAACCCTGGTTCTCAAGAAAGCATTCTTACCCACTGACCCATCTCAACTCACCAGCCCCATCAGACTTTTTCTCAAGTCATTTCACTCTTAAAGGAAAAACTCACGTCTTTTATGGCTCAAGTGAACCATGATGACTTGATGGATAAGGATGCATGTGAAATGTGTTGCTAAGGTACTTTACAACGTGTTAGCTTGCTTTATTCAGTCTGTATTTTAAGGGTCTGTACGTGTGAAGCCCAGGCTTGTTTATAAAGAATACTCAGGGCTAAAGTAAAAGGAAAGGGTGTTGCTCAGTGGTAGAGTATTTCTCTAACATGTACGAGGTCCTGCCGCGTGTAGCTCACTAACTGAGCACTTGAACTAGCATGTGTGAGGCTCTAGGTACAAAAGCAAACAAGGCTAACCTAAAGAAACCCAAAGAAAACTAAGCCTGGTGAAAAATGCCTACAATCCAAGTTCTCAGGACAATCTGGAGTTCAATGAGATTCTGTCTAAAAAAGGGAACACAGGACAGCTCAAGAACATTTCTGATAAGAAATTTCTGAGAGCTGTAAATTTTACTGTGTGTGTGTTAGAATTGAAAATATATAACAATAATGAATGTAAAATAATAAAAGAATAATATTTATAAAAGATTATACAAGTACAGATAACATAGATTATAAATCTGGAATGAAAGTAAAGTATTAAGGAACGATTCGATTATCTTTGTTTTTTTGTTTTCTTTTTGTAGTGCTGAGTATTGAACCTGGGGCTTCACACTTGGAAGGCAGGTGCTTTACTACTAAGCTTTCTACTTGAACCCCTAGATTTCTTAAGCTTTTGCATGCCCCCACCTTGCTATACCTCATCCTCAGGAGGCCAGGCCAATCTTAGCTCAGTGGTGGAAAAGGCAGAGTTGATATTTGGAATCATTTTAACTGAAGCTAAAGACAGCCCCTGGCCTTCTGCTCTGTGGGTAGAACCCATAGACTTTATCCTAAGTAACCCCATGGGCTTTCTTGGCAGCTCTGAGTGACACCACCCATACTTCTGTGCTTTCTAGGACCTTCGCTCCTCAGGCAAGCCCTGATGGAAGCACTCAATATCAAGATCGAGACAGATGAAGTGGTGTTCTTGGCCTTTCACGAGAAACTGAAACAGTGAGCGACAAATGACTCCTGGAAGTCTGAGCCTACTCCTGCTGCCTTGAATCTTTCGTTCACTGAACAGCTAGCTAACACAATGAACCAACCATTTCACGCTGATGTGTTTTTTGTCATCCTGCCTGAAAACATCTGTGTTGCTAGAAAACAATAAACACTATAAGGAAATCGCTTTTTTTTGCTAAGGTATAGTTTATTGTTAGCACCTCAAGTTCATGACAGATCCACAAGGTAACAAAGCAACTCCAATTCTAGCATCTTCTCAGCCTCTCAGTTGATTGGCTTTATGAAGCCAGTCCCCATAAACACCCTCTGTCCAATTTCTTCTCTTTTCTTTCCTTCTGTGTCTCTAATACATGTGTTTATTGGGGGGAGGTGGTTGAAGGGAGTGTGCACATGTGGAGACAAGTACATATATGGAGGTTGGAGGACAACAACCTTAAGTACTTGCCCTCTCCTTCCATTGTGTGAGTCTGGTCATCAGGCACCATGGCCGACTGATCCATGCCACTGGCCCTATTCCTTTACCTTTGACGTAGTGTCCTCTGTAATTCAAACTCCCTATGAAGGGTTGAAAGTGGCCTTGAAAGAATAATCCTCCTGCTCCTGCCTCTGGAGTGCTGGGATCATGAGCCCAGAGATGGAACTCAGGGGTTGGTATGTGCTAGGCAGGCACTCTGCCAACAGAGCTGTATCCCCAGCCCTTTGTCCACTTCTCAACAAGCTTCTTTGGAGTGAAATTCCTGTGTAATCTGATGTCCCTGCTGGAAAGGTTGCATTGAAAACAAATGTTAGGCTTAAAATGGGGAGGTCAAACACAATGATGAGAAAGTAAGAGTATGTGGTAGCCAAGCTGACCAAGATAAGAGGAGCGGTAGGGATCTGAGGAAACCAACAAAGCTAGTTTTGACATGCTCCAGCTAGCTTCCAACAAAGCCCTTTCCCGCTAGTCAGCTTCCTCACATTATGGGTGGTTATACCTTTATATGTATTCTGGCATCTAACGCTAAAAGATTGAATTGTGGATTAGGACTACTTCTAATAAAGCTTCCATCTATATCACAGGAAAAGGACTACCTCAGACTACCCCCAAGGCTGGACAATAGCCGGAAAAAGGTAGACCAAGGCTTAGAAGTCTAGACAATAGAAACAGCCCTTTGCCATTGCAGGACCTTCTGGAAGGCGGACTCGCTTCCTGCTTGGTTTCTTTAGCTGCTGAAATCCTTTTTGCTTGCTAAAAGAAACTGTGACCCACTTGCACCCTTTACCTCTGCCCCGGTGGGATTCTTCCCCTTCTGGGACACAAGAATGGACACTGCTGCTGTAGTTAGGATTAGAGATCTTCCTTCAGGAAGAGGCTGATCTCTCCATTCATAGCAGAAAAACATGTCCATTTCCGCTAAATGGTAAATCTCACTATGGTGGGGCCCATGCCTTTGTTCCTGTCTTCCTATCAGTGCGCAGCATACCACGGGTGTGTGGTTAAAGTCACTGACCAGCATTCTACATGCATTACTAGAGATGGTCCTTGAAGAGTGGCCAGACTGCACCACCATTTAACAGCTTCAGGAGTCCTTGCCACCGAGTATAATGGGATGACATCCCTCAGGAAACCCCACGTCACTGAACATCCTTCCTGTTCCCCAGCTCCCCACCCCGACTTCACAGTGCCCCTAAGAAAAAGACTCTGGGTTTCTGTTGAGACATGAGATTGGAGGGCAATCTCATAACCAAGGGAGGCATGGCTTTCATGCACAATTGGCCCTGGGCAGTGGAAAGGATTAATAAACCTTGCAAATATTTGCAGGGACAGGGCAAGCCTCTGCAAGGCTGCTCTAATTCCTCAGTGTGAACTCCAGGAGGCAACAAAGCAAAAGAACTCATGTCTATCAGAGGCTCCACAATGACGCCTTGTCCTCTTTATCCCTCCTAACAGCCCCATCGTGCAGGGTCACCAAAATGCCAGCGGTTCTCAACTTGTGGGTTGTGACCCCTTTGGCAAACTTCTGTCTCCAAAAATATTTACATGATGATTCATAACTAACAAAATTACAGCTATGAAGTAGCAACAAAAATAATTTTATGGCTGTGGGGGGGTCACTAAGACATGAGAAACTGTAGAGCCTTGCCATTTTAGCTTAACTCTGACAATCCATGAAATGATCCTCTCTCTCTCATGTATCCCAGGCCGACTCTAAACTCACTATGTAGCAGAGAATGACCTTGAATTCCTGATCCTCCTGTCTCCACCTCTGGGTGCTGGGCTTATAGGTGAGTACCAGCTTGCCCAGTTTATATGGTGCCGAGGAGCAAATCAAGATCTTCATGAATGCTAAGCAAGCAGTCTACCAACTAAGGTACACCCCAGCTCTATATTCCTTTTGAAAAATTTGGTTCCTAGAACTGAAGCGACTTGTCTTACTAGTTTATTGCCCTCCCTAGCCTCATAACTGATTTGAAGGCAGCCTGACTCCAGGTATATACTACATACTACTCATGAATCCCAAGATAGAGAACTACCCCCTCCTCTGATACCTACAAGGAAGGGACTTCCCCCACTCCAAGCTGTGTCCACATTGCATTGACAGTTGAGTCTGGCCTGGCCATCTCAGACAAGCCAGGGAGGGAGAGAGCCTGGCAGCTGGTGCTGAATGGTATGTTGAAGCAGTGGCCAGTGTAAGACGCAAAGCTCACAAGCCTACTCGAGAGAAAGCACTTTTGGCAGAAGGATCGGGAGTTGGAAGGAGGAACGCTGGGTGTTGAGCTACTCACCTGGAATACAGTCTAAGGAGGTGGCTCCAGCAGACCACAGAACATTGGCTCCTCCCTGGCAATCACACTTGCATGCTTTCTGGTACCAGGGCTCCTCGCCCTCATCCTGCAGGCGGCCAGAGGGGCACAAGTCACAAAAGTCACAGTTAAATGAAGAAGCTGGTTTGCAAAGGTCAGACCGGTTCATGACAGTGTGTGGCTGCTGGCTCTCAATACACAGTGACCGCTCATCTTTGATTCCATGCTCCATTTTCACTTAGGTTGTTGCTGCTGCTACTGTTTTTAGACAGGATCTCTCCCCCCCCCCCCCCCCCCCGCTCATATCCCAGGCCAACTCTAAACTCACTATGTAGCAGAGAATGACCTTGAATCCTCCTGTCTCCACCTCTGGGTGCTGAGTTTATAGGTGTGTACCAGCTTTCCTGGCTTATATGGTGCTTAGGATCAAATCAAGATCTTCATGAATGCTAAGCAAGCAGTCTACCAACTAAGGTACACCCCAGCTCTATATTACTTTTAAAAAATGTGTGTGTGCGTGCGTGCACGCGTGTGTGTGTGTGTGTGTGTGTGTGTGTGTGTGTGTACGTATGCAAACTACATTCAGGTACACATGTACTTGAATACTTATATATGTGTGGAGGCTAGAGGACAACTTTGTATGTCATCCTCCAGAATTCCATCTTCCTTTGAGGCAGGGTCTCTTACTGGCTTGGAGCTCACTAATTAAGCTAGACTTGTTAGCCAGCATGCAGTGGAGATTCTCCTGTGTCCACCTCCTCCCCAGTACTGGGAATTATAAACTACTGCCACCATGCCCAGCATGTTTTTATGAGTTCTGTGGGTTTACCAAATGAGCCATCTTTCTATCCTCTTTTGGTTTGTTTCAAGGGTGGGTCTTATTTAGCACAGGCTGGCTGACCTCCAACTCTTTGTATAGGCAAGGATGACCTTGACCCTTCTGATCCTCCCGTCTCTATATCCCAGAACCTGGGATTAAAGACATGTTCCACCAGGCCTTTCTTATCTTTGATTCTAAATGAGTAAATGTCTATCACTCGAGGCGGCCAGCTGATTATCTCTCAGGGCTACCTATGTACACAAGGGTAATGTTCACCTTCTTGGGGATAGAGTTCCAGTACAAGGTTGGACTCTCCTGCTCACTAGGCAGGCCTATTTAAGGCAATTTTAAAACTACCTGTGGTAGTACATGACTGTCATCTCAGCACTTGAGAGATAGAGATGGAAGGATCAAGAATTCAAAGTTATCATCAGCTACCTATCAAGTTTCAGCCTGGGCTACCTGAGAACTTCCCTCAAGGGAAAAAAAAAAAAAAAGCAACAATGAGAACAAAAAGCAATAAGGACAGTAAAACAAACCAATGTAACTGGGTGTGGTGTCTGGGCTACATACAAAAATCTTGTCCCAAGAACGAAGAAATCCCACCGATCTTACTAGGGGTGCAGCTAAGTGTTAAATCACTCGCTTAGCATGGGAAAGGGTGCCAAAATAGGTCTGGGTGGGTGCTTTTTAGATTTTTTTGGTTTTGTTTTTCTTATTTTCTTGTTTTGCAACACAGTCTCTTATATCCCAGGCCAGCTAAACTCTCTATGTAGTCAAAGAAGACCTTGAAATGACACCCCTGCCTCGACCTCTAGAGTCCTGGAATCATAGGCATGCGCCTCCACATCTAGTGTATGCAGTGCTAGATGAGCACTGTGACAAACTAAACGATGACCCTGGCTTCTCCCCCACCTTCCTTTCCTTCTCTCTTTTTATCTTTTCTTTCTTTCTTTCTCCCTTCCCTCCTTCCTTTCTCTTTCTTTCTTTCTTTCTTTCTTTCTTTCTTTCTTTCTTTCTTTCTTTCTTTCTTTTTTTCTTTCTCTTTCTTGAGTCAGGGTCTCAGTTTGTAGCCCAGGCTGGCCTGGAACTCACAGTTCAGCCAGGCTTGCCTCAGTTTACTGGGTGTTGGAATGATAGGCCTAAGCTCAGTGTAAAACTTTATATAAAAAAAATATACATTTGAAAGGACGTTGGAGAGATGGCTCAGTGGGTAAGAGCACTTGCTGTGCAAATATGAGCACCTGAGTTCAAAACTCCTGAACCCAGGCAGAAAGCTGCATGGGGCTGTATGTGCTTGTAGCCCCAGTTTAGAGGGATAGAGAGAGGTGATTTAGGTAGCTCATGGCCAGCCCACCTAGCCAAAAAAAAAAAAAAAAAAAAAAAAGCAAGTTTCCAGTTGAGTGAGAGAGCCTGACTCGAGGTAATATGCTCTAGATAATGTGCTCTAGAACAATAGAGGAGGACATCCAATCTTCATCTGGCCTTCAAACGCATGTACACAGGTGTGCACACCTTTACACTCCTCGACACCCCCCACAACCCCACACACAAATAAAATAATACACATTTCAAAGAACCCTCAGGCTTCAGGCGGAGGTAGCTCAATGCAAATCGCTTGCTTAGCATGCACAAAGCCCTGGGTTCACCCTCAACATTCTTCCCCCAAACAATGCTACCCTGACACATTAATTTTTATTTCAACAGCAACAATGATGAAAATTCCATCCGTCTTATTGTCACATACCTCTGTGGATGATAATCCCAATGTGGCTGAGCAAAAAGAACAGGAGAGGAAAAATGAAATTAGGAAGCGAGAGAGAAATTCCACAGACTCATTAATTGCATGGGAAAGCAAACTGAAAATGATGCCATGGAAGTTAAGAAGCCCATTCTGGAAGCCGTCCAGCTGCAGATGCATCCCCCAGGAGAAACTTCCACAGATGCTGGGAAAGGAGGTGGGAAAAGGATAGCAACTATTACTTTAGTTCCTAATCAAATTATAGAAAATACATTAAGATAACAAAACAGGGTGCAATGCAGCTTTTTTTAAAAAACTACTTTTTTCCCCCTTTTTTGTGAGGGGTTGGGTAAAGTGGGGGAGTGAGGCCACCATTGCCTCAGTGTGGAGATCAGAGAAAATTTTTCGAAAGTCTGATTCTCTCCTTCTTCCATGTGGGTTCCAAGGATTGAACTCAGCTCATCGGTCTTAGTAACAAGTGCCTTCACCTGCAGAGCCATCTTAACAGTCCCAGTACACTTTTATTTCTCGCTGTCAATGTCAGTACTATTAACATTCCAACATAGACCTTTCCAGCTCTCCCTTTTTGCAGAAGACTATTTTATATTTTATAAAATAATTTTTGAGATCATAACTGCAACATTTCTTCCTCCCCTTTTCTCTCCCCAAATCCTCCCGAATACCCCTCTCCACTCTCCTTTGAATTCATCACATTTTTTCTCTAAGTTTTACACACACACACACACACACACACAAACACACACACAAACACTTAAACACATTCCTAACTATAACCTGTTTGGTCAGTGTAATTTTACTTGTATGTATGTGTTCAGGGCTGACTGGCCCTGGGCTACCTTCCCTGAGGCAGACCGCCTCTCTCCTACACAGCTTTCCTCAGCTGCCTCCAGTCAGTTTTGTTTGTTTGTTTCGTTTTGTGGAACCCAGAGCCTGGACCATGCTAAGCCTCCAATCCCTGAATTACATCACCAGCCCCTTCAGTCACTCCTTGTACTCTTCCTCCTCCTTTCCCTCACTCTCTTCTTTCCCCTTTTTTGAAAGTCAGAGTCTTGAGTATCACAGGTCACGGCTTGCCTCCAATTTGCTCTTTCGCCAAGACTGGCATTTAAATCTTGACCTTCTTGCCTCCATCTTCCTGTTGCTAGGATGACAGTCATGCACCACCAAACCTGGTTTATGTGGTCTTGGGGATTTAATCCATTCATGCTAGACAAGCATTCTCCCAAATGAGCTATACCTTTAGCCCCTCAGTCACTTTTGTGTATAAATGTTAAAAACGGCATTTGATGTTAGAAATTAAATGATGGAACAGAATCAGCATGGTCTCTGGAGATACGTGGGAAAGAAAGAAATTGGGGCATTTCATATTTAGTGATATAGGCCTGTCATTTTAACAAAATGATCTGCATCTGTTACTCTCACAGTAGTGAAAAAAATAGCTGCATAAAGAGCCTTTAAAGAGGGCTTTATTTTGGCTAATAGTTCCAGGGTGTACTCAGTCATGGCAAGGAAGGCATGGTGGTGGTAAGAACAGCTCTAGCTGTGGCGGCAGGATCCTGAGGCAGCTGGTCACATCACACACCACAGAGATACTGGCACATCCATATTTATGGGCCACTGGTTATAGTAGCCACAACATGGAGCCAGTCTAAATGGATAAAGAAAATGTGGCATGTATGCATGAGAATGAAGCTACGTCATTAAAAAATACATTTGGGAGTTTACTTTCTAAACGACGCTGGACTCCATTTTCCTTTCCTTTTTAACATTTTCCTTTACTGATTAAGTCTTCCTCCTCCCCAACCCTTTTCTCTTCCTCTCTCTGGTCCTTCCCTTTAAACTCTTCCTCCTCTTCCTTTTTCTCTTCCTTTCTGTCTCTGTTTAAATAGGCTTTCCAGCAATTGAGTCTCAGTTGCCTCACTGTGTGCCACATTTGTATTATGAGAAGTCTGGGTGTGGTGGCACATGGCTGGAATCTTAGAACTCCAAGAGGAAGAGGCAGGAGGATTTGGAGTCTAAAGCCATTCTCAACTACATGAAAAATCTGAGACAAGCCTGGGATGCATGAGACGGAGTCTCATTAAAAACAAACAAACAAACAAACAAACAAAACGTTTAAAGCCACCCTCGACTATCCTGTCTCGTAGACAAACAATGGGGGCTGGAATTATGACTACTGGACACTTTTCTAGCAAACAGAAGTTCAGTTCCCATCACCCACATGGTGGCTTACAGCCATCTCTACCTCTTGTCCCTGGAGACCCTATGCCCTGCTCTGGCCTCTGAGAGTACCAGGCCTACAAGCAATACACAGACAGACAGACAGACAAAACACCCCTACACATAAAATAAAAACACTACTACTAATTAAAACAACAACAGAAAGGATATTTTGGGTTGGGCAGTTTGTTGGAAGTTTTTCTTCAGGTTTGTCTCTAATGTACAGAGATAATAAACCACAATGAAATATAAAGTCTGGGGGCTGGAGAGATGGCTCGGAGGTTAAGAACACTGGCTGTTCTTCCAGAGGTCCTGAGTTCAATTCCCAGCAACCACATGGTGGCTCATAACCATCTATAATGAGATCTGGTGTGCAGGCAGAATGCCGTATAAATAATAAATAAATCTTAAAAAAAAAATAAAGTCGTGCTCGCTTCGGCAGCACATATACTAAAATTGGAACGATACAGAGAAGATTAGCATGGCCCCTGCGCAAGGATGACACACAAATTCGTGAAGTGTTCCATATTTTTCTAGGAATAGTGCTTCCTCGAGATCCAGCCATACTACTCCTAGGCATATATCCAAAAGAGGCATAAGTACACAATAAGGACATTTGCTCAACCATGTTTGTAGCAGCTTTATTTGTAATAGCCAGAACCAGGAAACAACCCAGATGTCCCTCAACTGAAGAATGGATGCAGAAATTGTGGTACATCTACACAATGGAATATTACTCTACAATGAAAAATAAGGAAATCATGAAATTTGCAGGTAAATGGTAGGACCTGGAAAGGATCATCCTGAGTGAGCTGTCCCAGAAGCAGAAAGACACACACAGTCTACTCACTCATATAGACATGTAATATAGGATAAACCTACTAAAATCTGTACATCTAAAAGACTAATCAAGGGAGAGGACCCTGACTAAAATGCTCAGTCCCCATCCCAAAAGGCAAAGAGGAAGGACATCAGAAGAAGAAGAAAACAGGAAACAACCTAGGAACCTGCCACAGAGGGCCTCTGAAAGGCTCTGCCCTGCATACTATCAAGGCAGATGCTGAGACTTATGGCCAACTGTTGGGCAGAATGAATGGAAGAAGTAGGAAATAGTACGATCTGGAGAGGACAAGAACTCCACAAGGAGAGCAACAGAACCAGAAATTTGAACACAGGGGTCTTCCCAGAGACTCGTACTCCAACCAAGTAGCATGCATAGAGATAACCTAGAACCCTTGCACAGATGTAGTCCATGGCAGTTTAGTGTCCAAGTGGGTTACATAGTGTTGGGGAAAGGGACTGCTCTTTGATCACCTCCCCCTGAGGGGGGAACAGCCTTACCAGGCCACAGAAGATGACAATGCAGCCAGTCCTGATGAGATCTGATAGACTAAGATCAGAAGGAAGAAGAGGAGAACCTCCCCTATCAGTGGACTTGGGGAGGGGCATGCATGAAGAAGGGGATGGGATGGTGGGATCGGGAGGGGAGGAGGGAAGGGGTTATGGGGGGATAGAAAGTGAATAAAGTGTAATCAATAAAAATAAAATAAAAACAAAAACAAAATAAAGTCTGTATAAGTAATCTGGGACCATTGAGGTGCAAAATTTAGCAGGACCAGGTTTAACTCCTTCAGCTGTGGTGGCTAAAGTAGATGGTAAGCATCAGCATCCCTCCCTGGCCGCCCTCTCCAACACAGGGCCTCACTATGTAGCCATGGCGATTCTAGAACTCACTATGTGGACCAGACTGGCCTTGAACTCACAGAGATTTGTCTCCTCCCAAGTGCTAGAATTAAGAGTGTGCACCACCCCACCTGGCACTGTACATTTTTCTTTTCGCTCCTCCTCCTTCACTCTCTTCCCCTGTTTTCTGTTCCCCATCTCCACCCCCACCCCCATTGTCCTGGTTCCCTTCCTACCTTCCAATAGCTAACTTGCCTTCTGCTTTCATGTCACCTGTACACTGTTATCCCCATCCCAAGAGCTCTCCTTTTCTTTTCATCCTTTTCTATGAAGACATGTACTGTTTGCCTTTCTGAGTCTGGTTTATTTTGCTTAACGGTGAGTTCCAGTTCCGTCCATTTTCTTGCAAATGCCATGGTTTCGCTTTTCTTTATGACTACATGAAATTCCAATGTGTATATATCTTCCTTCCCCTTTTCTTCTTTCTCTTCTCTCTCTCTCTCTCTCTCTCTCTCTCTCTCTCTCTCTCTGTCTGTCTGTCTCGAGAGAGAATCCCACTATGACCATAAGGTCTCAGTATAGCCATGGCTGTACTGTTCTAGCCATGGCTGGAACTCACTATGTAGACCAGGCTGGTTTCAGACTCACCAAGATCTACCTGACTCTGCCTCCTGAGTGCTGGGATTAAGGATGCATGCCACCACCCCCTGCTTGTGTCTGGTGTTCCTGTCATAGGTTGACTTGAAGTCCTTTGGGTAAATACTCAGGAGTAGTAAACCTGGATCATATTGTAGTTCTAGTTTTATAGGTTTTTTTTTTTTTTTTTTTTTTTTTTTTGGTGTGTGTGTGTGGGGGGGAGGCTTCTACACTGATTCCCATAGTGGCTACATCAGTTTACACACCTACCAACAGTGAATACATGTCCTTCTCACCCACCGCAACCTTTCCGTGCAACCTTTCCATGCAAAACTTAATAGGTAAATGTGCCTGCTTGTGTGTGCTCCTGTATGTATGTATGTATGTATGTATGTATGTATGTATGTATGTGCATGTGGAGCTAAAGAACAGCTTCAGATGTTCCTCAGGAACCATCTACCTCATTTGAGATACAGCCCCTTAGTGGCCTGGACATGGACAAATAGGCTAGGTTAGCTGCTCAGCAAGCCCCAGGGGTCCTCCTGTCTCCTCTTCCCCCGTGTACCCAGATTTTTTAATTTTATTTCTGGGGATTGAATAGAGATTATTTTTCTACTTGC